ACTGATAGACAAAACAAAATTCTTACTTATGTATCTATGGTGAAAATGTATGATTTTCATATCAAAGTAAGTACTGTAGCTTTAACTTTCTAGTTTACCCTAAGAGCATTGACTCAAGCTTCTCGAAGTTATTTGGTCATGTAATAAATTGTTTATATATTTTTTCTACACCCACATGGATATTAGCTATTCTACGCACAGACTACAAAACGAAAAAGTAGGCCATTGCGTTCAACTGAACGAATATATTTCATTTCATTTTACCTAGTAAGAACATACTAAAAAAGTGTTATTTAGTTATTGAGATTAAATATAATTAAAAATGAGTGATTCTTATTAAGAAATAATAGCATTTCACAAGATAATCTTCTATATTTATACAAAAATCATAAATTTTAATAAAACTATAAAATCAATTTAATTATAAGTATCAAAACTAAAAAGTTAGGTGTCTCGATAGAGCTAAGAGTAGCGTACTGAGTTGCCATGCGAAAGGTCCGGGGTTCAAATCTAGGATTGAAAAATAATTAAATAATTTTTTTTCAAGTTTATTCTATTTTATAAATTATTAAAAGTCCGAAGTTAATTTTTAAAATTTGTAGATTTTCGTTAGTGGGTCGTAGAAAAAATATACTGCATAACTCGAGTGGATTGTGCGTATCGCACTCAGACGATTGAGCATACGGCGTCGTGCTTAAACTTCGTCTTCGTGCAATATGACCATCATATCCACTCTTGTTGCACAAACTATTTTCTACACCCACATGAATATTAGCTTATCTACGCACATATTACAAAACGAAAAAGTATGCTATTGCGTTCAACTGAACGAATATATTTCATATCCATTCTAGGTAGTGAGAACACTGCAAAAAAATGAAATTCACCAATTACAGTTCATATTTTGGACACCCAACTACTATTTTTAAAATTTTAATTAAGTGACAATTCTGTCAAACAATTTTTTAGTTATTAAGATTAAATATACATTAAAATGAGTCATTTTTGTGTAGAATCGATAAATAATAGCACTTTTATTTGGTCCACATTAAAAAAAAAATAATTAAATTTTAATCAAACTATATGAAACTAATTTAATTATGAGTATTAAAACCAAAGTCATAAAAGTGGCTGTGGACAGAGTATCTGCCTTCCACGCGAATAGCCAGGGTTCGAATCTGGGCTCGAACCGAATATTTTTTTCATGTTTATTTTATTTTACAAATTAGTAAAATTCATAAATTATTTTAAAAATTAATATTTTATCTTAATAACCTAAAATAATTTTTTAAATTTATAGGTTTTTAGTTACTGGGTCGTAGAAAAAATATACTGTACAACTGTAGTGGATTTTTCATATCTACTCTTGTTGCATAAAATACTATTGTATGACCTGCAAACAATATTTAAAAAAAAAAGCTTAAAACGTGTAAAAATGTATATATTACACTAGTGGAAAAAATGAAGGGGTCAAAAAAAAAATCTTGACTTTTTGCGATTTTTCGAGTGGCGTGTGTGTTCCTTTAAGAGAAATGAGATCCGGTGGTTCGTCAGTTCCACCGTAATTTATGACTCCAAACTCATTCTCCAAAGAGTGTGTGTGTATATGCTTTTCCCTAGTTTTTTTTTTATTTTTGAAAAAAGAATTTTTTTGATTTGGACGAGAGAAGAGAAAATTACGGATTTTCGTTCATTTTCGCATAACTCAGCAAGGAAAGGTCATCTCGAGGTCATCATAAAAAGAAATTGAAGCTAACGGAACCACCTATTCAATGCATAAAGTGGTTATATCGAGAAATTTTTTTTCAATTCCGTACACTAAAAATTTTTTTTTCAAAAATGTTCTATTAATGATATTCATCAGGATTTTGTGCTAATTTTTGGTTAGAAATTTTTTTTATTACAAGATCCATAAACTAGACACTTCAAGCTTCAAATTGCTTTTTTTTATTCCCGTACGACCATTTTTACCAAAGATACAGCCACTCGAAAAATCGCAAAAGTCAAGATTTTTTTTGACCCCTTAATTTTTCCACTAGTGTATGTCAAATTCAATGATGTTTTTGTTAAAAGTTTTGTTAGAAGTTAATTGTCAGTGGAACTAAAATTGCGTCACACTAATATGGTGTATTAAAACACTTCTAAAACATGGTGGCTTTATTCATGCCCATAGAAACTTGGTCAACGAATTTCCCATTTAGATTCGCTTCTTGGACAGCTAGGTATTCTTTGTAATGGGTGTTCCAATAAAAGGTTTCCACTATTTTTATTAAATAAAATGAAAACTAAATTAGAAAAAAATAAAACTTTATAGAAATAGGTAATATAATCGTATACAATTAAATGTGAAACACAATATCGAGTAAATGGCTACCGCGACTTCTTTAGGCAAGACACAACGCTTTTGTCAAAATTTTTGATTACAGCTGAGCACATTTCTGTTGAGCGTTACCGCACAATATTTCGAGACTTTTTATTGTCTGAAATAATCAAAATGGATCTTTTCAATAAATGTGTCCAACAAAAGGGTGCATTACCTCACACATCAAGAGAAACAATAAACTTATTGCAAAGCGTTTCAAGATAAACTTCTTTCAAGAAATGGCCGCATCCTGCGATCTAACGCCGCTAGACTTTTTTCGTGGGGTTACATCAAAAGTAAAGCATATGTAAACAATTCGAGAATTTCAAAATGAGATTCGACCCACCACCAGAAATGTGTTCAGCTGTGATCGAAAATGTTGACAAAAGAGGTGTGTCCTGCCAGAGAAGTCGATTTACTCGATGTTCTATTTCACACATACGATTATGTTACCTTTTTTTCTTATTTGGTTTTCATTTTATTTAATAAAAACATTGGAAACCTCTTATTGGAATACCTATTATAAATCTAAAGTATCTCTTGTTAACTATGAACATTAAGTTGGTCTATGCTCTTATTGGTTTGATGGTCTGTCAGATATTTGGTGGAAGGTACACAGCTAATTTTATTTAATATTTATAGTATAGGGTATACTCTATAGATATATTATATACATTCTATTTTTTTTTATTAAAAAAATTAACTTATTTAAATAATTCTTTACTGAATTATTTTCAATTCCCGACCAAGTATGTTATTTAACGAATAAATTATGAAGTTATTACGTGGACGAAATGTCAGTTCGTATCATAGTGACGACACTAATTTGCGAGTTAAATACGACGGTTTATCTACGACTATTTAAATAATAGATACTTCTCCTCAATTCCATGATTGCTTTATAAAGGCGGATTCCACCGGTCCGTGGATCGGAGAATCACGAATCACGAGCCCAGTCCGCCAAGCTCTGTGGGAATGAGCTGGCAGAGTTATTTCTGACGCGGCTTGGTCCTTCCTGCGTGTTGTAAATTTGATGCGATTCAAAGGAAGTCTATAATTGCCGCGTTTGAGAATCCACATCGGGTGCATCTGAGACAGGGGTGCACAACATACGGCCCACCAGTGTCGTTTTGGCGACCCACCGGCCGTTGACTAATTTGGTCCGCCTACGTGATTTTTCAGTAACAAACTTGCATTTAGGCTGACGACCTTTTTTTTAGAAATCTGAACCGACTATTGTCTCTTGGCTGCCCTCGTACAGTTACGGTTTTTCAAATCTGGCCCTTCGAAATCTGAGTTGTGCAGGCCTGTTCTGAGATGTAGTAAATCTTTGATCACGTGATTCAGTATACGTAAATGTAATGGGACAGATGTGTCCGATGTGGATAAAAAAATGCTCGAGATGTAAAAAATGCATCCGATGTGGATTCTCAAACGCGGCAATTATAACTGCTCAAGCCGGCGCGAGCCGGAAGCCGGAAAGCCCGGAACTCACCACGTCGTGGGAACGCATTTACTTCGACGAGCCAAATACACAAGTCGGGCTCGTCAAACCACATGCAATGAGAATCCGCCTTTAGTTGGTGTTTCTGCATTGGCAGCTTCCGTTATTTTTGTCTCTTCTAAAACACCAGACACTTTATTTAATTTTTCACAGTGTCTAGGTGCACGCTAACTTGTACGCAATTCAAAAAGTTATATACCCGCGAAACTTCTTGACAGAGTAGGTGAGCTGTGTGCAGGCCGTTGATGTTTACGCCGGTCGGCGTAGCTAGGTATGGATTGAAATTTTTTTGTGGCGGCGAGAAGTCGTTGCTTCGTTTTCTTGTTGTCACGACATTATTATTATTTGTTCATACGAGTATATGTGAAATTTGCTTCTAAGGTTTATAAAATACTACTGCTAGTCACGGCGTAAATGAAAACAAACAAGACGCATTCACACAAACACCTCCCACCACAGCAATATGACGTTTCGCGTGTATATAATTTTTTGATTTGTGTACACTTTAAATTTTTAAAGTTTTCGCGCTGACATCCCATATAATACAATTATCGAATTAAATAAATCTACAATTTGATAATAGGTATATCATTGTTAAAATAAATAGGATTAATTAATTTTATTTAATAGTCGTAGATACATTGTATTAGAGTAATCCATAAAAAATGTTTCCAAAGTAGGCCATGGAAAGAGCTTACAATCTTTCTTTTTTAAATGACAGTTTGAATTTAATTCATAGGCGATCGTAGTTATCTACACGGACGTGACTCGTATATCTGTCTTTGTCAGTCATGGACTAATTTAGAAACATGTTTTTGTGAAATCAGTCATTATTTTATTTTTAACATACACCATATGCATATTATTTCTGTTTACCGATTGTTTTTGTATATTTGAGATGTGCAATTCACACGAGTTCATTTAGTTGTTCCCACACGATACTTATTTAAAATTAAGCGAATGTATAGTCTTAAGGCCTCAAAATTGACGACGTATTTTTATTTTGATAGAGCTGCTCAACTAACAACATAACATTGTCGATTGTAGTTACTTTAAAGTGGTGTCTTTTAAGGGTTAATAAACTTGCTTTTTAAGTCCTGCGTTTTATTTCAAATCCCGTTTTCTCTTCCACAGTATATGATCGAAGCAGAATGGCCGTTGTCGATAGGCGTGTGCGAACCAAGAAGAGTGGCTGCCATTTCTTTAGCTAACAGAGTAGCAGACGAAACTGGTTCGTTGGTTCAACAGGAAACTGTAGGTTACGCTGTTATGTTCGACGCTTGTAATAATAAGCCGAAGATTAAGGTAAGTCTATAAAATTATTTTTATAATTTTGATAAATAGACATCTTTTGTAATCGCAGCAGCAAGTGTCAAAACGATATACTTTACGCAACCAGTTGTATAAAGTTGATTATGAAACTGGTTACAAAATATTCATTATATCACCAGTTGCGAAAAGAAAACAAATAATTTTTGGTTTTAAAATTAATACACATTAATATTGAAAGTTTATATCAAAGGAGGGCAGATTGGCTACATAAGTCCATAGGTTTGTTCCCAATCGCAGTTTGGATTGTACGAGAATAGTTTGCAATTGCGTAATAGCATAAAAGTGTTCCCAATCATGTAGAATAGGACATGCACGATGGGTTGGCTGTTCCCAATAAACACAAACTAGTACATTAATTAGTTTGCGGATGATCAAAACAGTCCTTGCTAAAAAGCATGTACGAAAAGTTAACGCATGCTCAAAACGATCTCCATCTACATTCGGTAAACTTAACCCAACTTTTTATTGATAATTTAGCGACTAATAATACTCGTGTAGAGATAATTATTATTGTTATTGTTGGTATTTTTATAAAAATGAACAACGAAGACAGTATTTCGTCAAGTAGTAAATCGAGTGATTACGAAGAAGACGAGTTTTTGTAATGTATGGAGAGCCCAGGAAAAAAAAAACCGAAAACTATTTAGGTAGGCCTTTTATAATTATGTATAATAAATATTTTTATAAATTCTACTGATACTTTTTTTCGGGGGCTATATCCAGCGGACAATTTACCCAACCTCTTGTGTCATTCATGACAATTTCCATTATAAGCGTTCCCAATAGAACAACACTTTTTACTAATTTGTAACGTAGTTCATGTATGACATGCGCTTAGGTCAGTTCAAGTACTAATTGCAAACTAATCGTAACATCTAATTGGGAACAAACCTCATATAAATAGAATTTGGTTAATGAACCTAGTAATAATGTTGTTTTGCTCCGTATTTTCCATTGTAAATCTGCACAAAATAATCAAAATATAATGCAATTTTAACAAGCAATATACATATAGACACACTACATCAAGTCGTTGAGAATAAATTAATATTTGCTATTTGTCAATGAAATAAATGAAGTTATACATATGCAACTAACAATACATAAAAGTAATATTTATTGCATAGATGTCAATAACTTTTTACCAAAACATAATTTTATAATCTAGTCAGAATTAGAAAAAAATATTGTATGTAACACGTTACGAAATGTCGTTATATGTAACTTACAAATATTCACTCGTAACTGGTTGCATAAATAGCTATTAATATTTGAACTGTTTGACATTATACGTCTTTCTACAGAATTTATTAGGTTATTTTCACATATTTATCTAAATACAATAATATACGGGCAAACAACTTAGGTAATAGTATATTATTTAACGAGCGGTAATGCAGGTCATAACTCACGCAGATGAAGTGCGCAGGCGAGTGCTGTAATTCATCAAGTGAGTTATGACCATTACCGCAAGTTGAATTCTATACTTTATCTACGGCTATAGCAATAAATTCTAAGATTCAAGTATCGAGAATTATATAATTGACTAGATGATAAACACGTTTGAATATTTGTAAAAGCTATTACCTTTGTCGCCAGATATTTCTCATCAGGAGCTTTATTTATGAAATTATTAAGTTGTTCTGGCGTAAATGTTTTTGCCTTTTTAGCTATATGTTTCTCTGATTGACTTTTAAGAAACGCACGTAATTTTGAATAATTCTCTATATTAATTCCATTATTTATGTTGAGTGTGCTTCTTAGCAAGGAGTAAAAAGTCCATAGAAACGATGCTTTATATTTATTGCTAAGTTCATTAAAATATGCCAAAGGTACATTTTCTGTAAACGAGTTACACCAATCTTGAAAATTTTAGTATACACCTTTATACTTGTTTTTTGATTTTTCTGGTAATACATTCTGCATTTCATTATAAGCTATTTCTCTTATTTCTGGAAGTGTACATAATAACTCATCTTCACTCTCTAAATTCATCTTTTTTTAGCACTATTATTAGAAATTGATTTGAAAACGTCAAAATTATCTTGTCATTTGATAAAATGACATTACTCCCTCAATGTAATAATTGACTATTCCGCCTACTGAGAGGCGTTGACAATTTAATAATTTTAAAATCATTCCATTCATTCCTTTCCAGTTGTTAAAAAATATTTCTAACATTTTACGCCAATGGAACATTTATCGACTTAAAAATTTCCAAGAATTTACTGCGCACACATTTACGTACCGAATTGTCGTAGGAGCCCAGCGTGAGTTATAATAACTTACTATTAAAACTCACGCTATTTGTTTAATGATCATCATCATCATCTGAATTAGGGCGTGGTTCAAAGCCCACTTGTACTGAAGCTCTAGGCTTATTGTACCCCTCACAGTTTCTATCCCATCAGATTGATTTTCTTGATGAATTCAAGAATATGTCTGATGGGCGCTTTCGCGATTTCTTCAGGTTCCGGATATTGTACCCCGAAGTACCATTCCCGTTCCCATTTAAGGTTCCGGCAGTGGCATAGTATGTGAATAGGAGTTTCGTCCTCCTCTTCACATATTCTGCATAGGGAGTCATCAGATATCCCTAAGAGATTTAGGTGTCTTCTAAGGCCGCAGTGTCCCGTAAGGAGTCCTATTACGGCCTTGAGTTCGCTTCTGCTAAGGTTTAGCAGTTGATGTTGTCTTCTCGTGGATGGCCCCTCTATGAATCTTTTGGACTGTCTAAGTCCAGGAAGTTCTATCCAGAGCCTATGGTGTTCTCTTTTTATTTGTTCTTTTAACACCCATTTAACATGTTGGTATGAGATACCACATGTGGGTTCTGGTCCAATAAGAGTTTTTTCCGCTCCCTTCCTTGCTAGGAGGTCTGCTTTCTCGTTTCCAAACACTCCCTCATGTCCTGGCACCCATTCAAGGGTTGTTTAATGATACTATTAATTGCTCAAAAGCAGTTGAATAATTAATATATAAATTACTAGGAGTAGATAAATATTAATAATCAAGAAAGAGCAATCCTGTATGTCATTTAAAGATTTAAAGTGATTTGACAGGTATAGGGGTCTATTCTGTAACAATTCCTTTATATTTAACGGCCTTTAAAAATATTTTCTTCTTTACTTCTATCATTATTTAAACGGATCTTTAAAATACATTAGAGGACTATCTTAAAGAAATCTGTTTAAATAATGACAGAAGTAAATTAACGAATACGAACATATTTTTAAAGGCCGCCAATATTTTTAAAGGCCGTTAAATATAAAGGAATTGTTACAGAATAGACCCCATAGTCCATTTAAAATAACGGTAAAAGGTCGAGAAACGCCGCACTTGACGAGACTACTTGTCCCCCTACGTATTTTGGGGCGCTGATTGCGAAGAAAATGAGGGTTAAAACTGGCAGCAATGGTTGGAACACACCTAAAATTGCAAAAAAACACCCATAAATAGGGGTGTTTTTCGACTATACTTGTTGTTTTGCAAACTAACTCATCTCATATGTTTTTTGGGGCGCTGATTTCGAAAATCGGGGTGTCGAGACTGGAAAATTTGTGTGACACCCCCCACATGCCAGAAACACCCCTCCCAACCGGTGGATTTTAGGGGTGGTTCGATCATTGCTGCAAGTTTTAACCCCGATTTTCGTAATCAGCACCCCAAAAAACATATGAGATGATTTAGTTTGCAAAACAACAAGTATAGTCGAAAAACACCCCTATTTATGGGTGTTTTTTGCAATTTTAGGGGTGTTCCAACCATTGCTGCAAGTTTTAACCCCGATTTTTGTAAACAGCGCCCCAAAAAACATATAAGATGGCTTAGTTTGCAAAATAACAAGTACAGTCGAAAAACACCTCTATTTAAGGGTGTTTTTTTGCAATTTTAGGGGTGTTCCAACCATTGCTGCCAGTTTTAACACTCATTTTCGTAATCAGCGCCCCAAAATACGTAGGGGACAAGTGGTCTCGTCAAGTGCGGCGTTTCTCGACCTTTTATCGTTATTTTAAATGGACTAGTATACATAAATCATTTTACGTTATGATGAATATAAATAAAATTTAATACCAAATTGACAAATAAAGAAAATAGTATAAATATTTAAGTTCAGAATTAAAATTTTAAAGGTTTTTAAGCAATAATTGAATCAAATAATAAAAATAATGTAACGTTTGTTTAATTTATTTATAGTTTATTTATTTTACAACTCCTTCCAATTTTAACTTCGATTCCACCTCATGGCCTTTATTTCACGTCCTTGGTCTGTTCTGTATGATCCAGTTCTTCTATCTTCTTTTCCATCTCTTTTATTTTCTCCTCGACGGAAGAAATTTGATTTCTTATAGAAGATATTTCTATTTCACAATTCTAATTTATTTATTACAATTTATCTTTTCTGTCCAACACTTAAATTGAATCTTCTCGTCCGTCGCGCTATTTATATAAAGCCAGCTCTGTACCAGAACACTCTGCTTTCCAGAAAGATCGGTAACTGCCTTTCTATGAAATACGCCGCAAAGGGATCACTCCGGTAGCTTTTTGAGGCGGTCATCGCTAAACTTCATACCGCAGGCAATGAGTAAACAAGGAACAGAGATGGCTTCGCGTCACAATAAATACCTTAATAGGAATGACGTCACAAAAATAAACATTTTATTGGGCTATTAGTTCTCTTAATAAGATAAGTGTAGAGTGCGTGAGCAGGTACCTAAGCGATTTCTTCAAAAACTTATTCAGGGTGCTCACATACTAGAAGTCCTGACGCCTAGGAGGGGAGGGGACACAGAGAAGGTCCCACTTTTGGGTTTTTTTTCCGCTTATATTTTGAAAACGGTACGTAATTTTAAGCTCTCAACCCTCTTCGGATTCACTTTTTCATCTTGTTTGGCTGTGAGGGTCCTGGCAAGGGTTCTTTCTCCATATCATCCTCATCGGTAGGTAATTCTTGCTGGTCGTCCTCGCCAAGA